CAAACTCTATCACAATTTTATACGTGTGTGTTTGGGTACGGCTTGGGCTCTGGCGTGTGGTTCAGCGCATATAACGTGTGGGTGATTGAGATATGGCAGCAAAACAGCGCACCCGTACTCCAACTCTCGCAATTTATGTACGGAATCGGCACTATATTTGGACCCCTTATAGACCAGCCCTACCTCACCGGTGAACTCATACACAGCCTCAACAACGCCGTCATCAACACCACTGAGAATATCACCGACGATCACATTATGGACGTAGTGCTCGGCCACGATGTCAGCCACCGGCGTAACAAACTTCACACACCTTTTCTTATAATCGGTTGCCTCGAGTTTATCGGTTAGTGCAATACAATTACCATTTCAAAAATAAATGTAACTTTTTTACAATGTATTCTATCACACCTTTAGGACCAATACTGTTGCTGACCATGTATTTCATAAAGCCGTACAGCAGTGAAGCCGCCCCACCGGTCACTACCGCCCCGTCGGCCAATGATAACCCCAAATCAGTGACCACTACTCAGCCCAACAACCAGAAGATCGCGGTGTTTAAGAGCACTCAAGTGAGACACAGTCTTCTGGTGGCCCTGTTGTCCAACTTTGTGGCCGTAGTGTTTGTGTCGGACAATATATACCTGAAGTTCAGCGCCACATACTTTCAGTACATACCGTTGCAGCTAAACGCTAGCGAATCCGCCGCTCTGGTTGTCCAGATGGCCATTGTTTATACCATTGGTCGAGCCATTACTGTAATCATATCATTGAAACTTAAGCCTCAGACCATTATCTCCTATCATATGGTGGCGCTTATGATAGCAATGGCGGTACTGTCTGTCGGTCACGACCGGTACGACACCCTATGGTTGGGCGCAATGATGATGAGTTTCGGCTTCTCAGCCCTATTGCCGGCCATTTTTGCGTTTGTGGGACAATATGTAGAGGTGAACAACAAATTGGGCACGGTCATTATATTCAATTGTGGCATTTTAAACGCATTCATACCATTCATCCTGGGCTCATACATCGAGATCTATCCCAACATTTTTCTATCAATAATCATGATTAATTTTACAATTGCATTTGCCCTCCTCGCCACTATCCTATTTTTGACAAACGTGCTTGATGAGATCAATATTATTTGATCAATGTATGGTTTTGTTATTAGCATTAATTTTTGTAATATATAATTTTTAAAACTGTACTGGGTTGTTATGTATATATTGTTACAAGTTGTTTTAATTTAGTTTGTAAATATAGTTTATTGTTTTGTAAATTAAAGTTACTATTTTGTTACGTTGGTTGAACAAATTTACAACAACAAAAATATTTATTGTGTTTTTAATAAGTAATTAATTAATTTGATATAATGTGCATATTTTGAAGTTAATGTAAGTAAATTAGTAAATATAAGTTACAAATTATCCATCAGATTTTTAAAATAATTTATAATTATATAACGTACAGGTTCCGTACAATGAAGGAACCAGGGTCTATAAGTTTACAGTAGTCAGATTTAAAATGTTTCAGGTTTTGACCCTGAAGATAATTTATTGAATTTATTAAAGAATTAAATTTTTTTTAAACAGGTGGCAATTCTAGTGCTATTAATTATATTATGGTATATTCATACAATATTATGAGGTAATTTATATCAAACAATTTTTTAACAAATTATATATTTTAAATATACAGTATACGCATGTACAATAGGAACACATGATTTATGTAAAATTAAAACTGTATAATACAATTTAGCACTTATTTCAAACAATATATACACCAAAAAGTAATTAAATAATACATTTGGTAAATGGTGTGGCACTTGATCTCCGACTTAATTGGTTGTAAATCAACATTGATTTTCTTTGACTATTATCTGTCAAATATAAGTTTAAAATAAAATTATTTAAAAATAAAATCACTTAACAAATAAAATGTATTACCCGTCGTCTCATCATTGGTTATAATACCACTGTTTGTACTTTTAAACAGCCATTGATTGACATAACATTTATAAAGTCGACGAAACTCAGAGCTCATCCAGAAATAGATCAACGATGTAAAAGAGCCGCTCGTATTGAATATAATGTAAAGTATATAATATTCTGCGTTCAGATAACAGGAATATGTTTGTCTGGCGCTCATCATCTCTATGACAATGTTTTTGGTGGACTTCATATGAAAGGCTGAGTTCTTGATGAGGAATATCGCAAACACCACAACAAATCTCTTTGTTATGATCCACTTCTTGTCCATTAGTTGTGTGTTATTTAAACAGAAAATTATTTTTGCGCAAAAATATGCCACCAATGCTGATGGCAAAGCAAACTGCACCGCAAACCTCAATAATCGTGTGATTTGTCGGAACTTATCATCCGTATTGAGGGAAACCAAATAGTTTTGATCGTTTATACACATCTAACACATGGTAAAAAATATAATTACATTTTAAAAATATTTTATAAACAAATACAATGTAATTAAAAAATATTTAGGCAATAAAGTTATTAAAATAAAATCTTTATACCATTGATCCGTTGGTGTAATCAAAATAATAGACATCTGATGTAACGGCAAAGGGTAGCGATAGTACGAAACTGGACGTCCATATAATCCATAATAAATATTTCGTGGAAATGGCATCAAATGGACTGTCAAAGACATTTGTGATGAGATAATAGCGATCGCAGGCAATGACAACCATTATTATGGACGTAACGTAAAGTGTTGTGGCGTTTAAACAGTTGGTCACCGATTGAATGACATGAGAGAGGAGAGGACTGTCGGCTACGATGAAGGGTAGGACAAGAAATCGTAATTTTAATAAAATCAACACAATATCAGAACAGGCGATGTTTGTCATCAAGAGTCGGGCCCTTTTCACCCGATGTCTATCCATCAGAAATATAATCCGAATGCTTATCACGTTTGATATGAGAGCTACCAATTGGATGATTGTGTTCACGGATAGCATAAACAAGTGAAATGAGTCCAAATGTAACTCTTTTATAATCATTTTTATTAATATTTAGATTTTAAGTAAAATTCTTGTAGTAAATGAATACTTTAAAAAACGGTTGATTTATTAAGTGCTTAAGACATGTTTAAACATACTATTTAGTAATACCCTAAAACATAAGTTTATAAATTATAATTTGTGCACCGATTGTACCAAATGTTTGCATAAACTAATATTTTCAGACAATATTAAATGATAATTGTTTGAATAGAATTCACACACGTTTCTGAATATCACGTTTTTGACAACAGTTTCTTATATTTTTCTAATTTATACCAAAATTAATACAAAATTTTAAAACAAACAAAATATAAGAAAAATTGTTTCACTACAATATTTGATAGATTTGTTTTAAGTTAACACAATGTTTAGATTGCATCCAACATAAGAATATTCTGGTGTATGACTGATAACAAGTGTTTTGTTTTTGTATCAAAATATATTCAAAGAATTTACTGTATTGTAAATTCAAACATAATAACTATTGATTTCCCTAAACATTATATAAACATTTGGTATAAATATTATGTGATCGATACCACTATGAAAGTTATAAAAATGTTATTTGCATTTTGCTTAACATTAGACAATAAATATGTGGCGTTTAAGTGTTTATTACATAAAGCATTTCACACCAAATTTAATTATATTTGTCGCGAATAATGTAAATATTGCATAATATTATTGTTATAAAGAAAATTATTTTTTCTATTTTATTTTTAGTGCAAAATAATTAAATATTTAGTTGATTTAAGAAAATACAAAATTACATAAACTTTTCGCAGTCTAGACAAATGACCATGAGCTTATAGATCAAGAATTACAATTAAAATCATTTTATAAATTAATTTCCAAATCATTGATATAAAATATTACATTGTATTTTATTTATTTATGGGTAATTTGTAATTTAGTATTTTGTAATACAAAAAACAAGTTATAATCAATTATATACTCACTATATGTCTAAAAATCAAAATTAAAGCAATTTTATAAAAGTCACGAATAGATTGAATTAATAGTCGATTAATATTTTATTTGTCTACAAAACATGAGTATAAATCCATAAACATTTTCAATCAAATGTTAGTAATTTTACTAATATTACTGATAGAAATGTTTAAATGAATGATAATAAGTATAATAGTAATGAATTGACTGTAAAACCAGTTCATACCTGAAATGATTTACTGGCAATTAATTCATGAGTTGTCTCTTCTCTTATTTTATTTCAATCAATCATTTAATATAACAAATAGTAAACCCTTTGAACGCAAACTATTTGTGCCTAAAAATGATTGAATGAGAGACTATTGTCAATAATTTAGTGACAAAATAATAGTAAAAATTGTTGTCAATTGTTTGTGCCATAAAGTCTATAATGAAAATTGTTTAGTTTTAAATACTGTATATATTTTATTGTTTACAAACCAAGACTAAAAATGAAAAATATTTGTTTAGTTTTTAAATTAAAATACACAGTTTTTATTTGTATATATTTGAACATGATCAATACACAATTTGTACCTAATGTTGTGATTATTGATAATCAATTAACACAAGAAATGTTTACAAGTAATTTTACTTAGTTGTTCATATTGTAATTAAAAATGTACGTTTTTATAAGAGGCAGTATCTAGTAAGATTTATTGCCTAGTTGGTTGCAGTTTTAATAATTCGACGATTAGTTTTAATAGAAAATTATATTTTGTTATACCATTTAAAACATGTGATATATTATGTACTGTATTATAGATATAGCAAATATGCCACTCGTTATTGAGACAACATTTAAGACACTGGATTTAAGTGCTATTAATTTAATCAAAGAGGTATTGTATTTAGAAAATAATTTTACCATCTATTAAATAAAATAAATAATGGTTAATTAACATAGTTAAGTTATACAGGAGTTCACAATAGACTATTACATTGAATTTCAATGGCGAGTGAATGCAAACTATTGTGTAAAAGCTGTGGAAAAGTTGGCGTCAAATAAGACAGATTTAACAAAACCAATACTAATTACCGGAAAAAGTATATCAAAGCAAATATGGATTCCCGATCTCATCATCGAAAGGGTCAGAGCTATGGCCCAAACCCTTGAACCAGTGCTCACTATCAATATAATAAATAGCAACTTTTGTCACTTAACAGTTAATAAAAGGTTTAACAAATTATATAAAATATAAATTCTTTTTAAAATGTAAATTTTAAAAAATGTTGGACAGGGAGTCGGCAACAGTGGGCTGTCCTCTGGATCTACACGCGTATCCATTTGACACTCAAATCTGTAGCATTAAAATGAGAAGTGGTGAGTGATTTTACGTAATTTTGATCATCATTTTATATCAATTAGATAAATCATCATTTATTTGGAAGTCTGCTGTTTTAATGATAAATTGTAAAAATATTTTTAACTCTTTTGCAGCCAATTATCCGTCCAATGAAGTTAAGTATGAATGGCTGTCCACTGATCCCAATGACAAGACTTCAGTCAACACAACACTATCGCTCCCTAAACCTAGTTATAACTTAACTCACAATAAAAGTCAATATAATTTAACGGCAATCAATGGAGGTAACAATTAATTGTAGTTTTATTTTTTTAAATTATCTTCACCTTTACATACATAATAGAGGTTACAGTATTGTATCATTTATATAACAGTCAACTACTCCTACCTAATGGTGACATATTATTTTGTGCGACAAATCACCACATTTAGCATTCAGTTCTTCTATCCGACAACTTTGATTGTATTTATAGCCTACTGTTCTGCTTGGATCACAGTAGAAAGTGGCCCTGGTCGATTTCTGCTATGTATTCTACCATTTCTCACACTTGTGGCTACATTTAATGGCATTAAAGGCACTCTTCCATCCATTTCTTATGTCATCGTAAGTCTACTCTTTCTATTATACACTAAATTAAAATAATGATTATTATACAGTATTAATATTGTAAAAATAGTTGATTATGGTTGACAGAAATATTACAAAAAGTAACTGTAAAAAGTAATAATTAAATTATATGTTTATAAAAGTGTTTAATGTGTAACATAAATGATATTGATTTAAGCTGAAAGTTTATATAGAGAAGTATTTGATTATTTAATTTATAAAACATTTCAAATAAACACAAAACAATTGAATTAATATAGATTTTATTGTTAAGGCGATCGACATCTGGTACATGATTTGCATGATGTTTGTGTTCACAGCGATCGGTGAACTAACACTAGTTAACTATTTGCACAAAAAGCGCTCATTAATTGTGGCCAAACGGAAACGAGACAAAGAGGATCAGCCAATCGCTGTCCAACACATACCCAACGGTTTCGGTCACCGCATAATAACGACCGCCGATATGATGGCCGGTCTGGAGGGCGACCAACAAAGGAGGCGCTCTTCATACGCGCCCAAAGCCTTTTGGAATCAATTTAGTAATAACTTTCACATCAATGTTAATAATGATAATAATAATGGCATTCATGTTATGGCAGACAACGAACCTATTGATCGGGCCCTTCAAGTGGACCGAGTCTTTCGTGTTATTTATCCCATTTGTTTTGCCATTTTTGTGATCGCCTTTTGGGTCACATACATGTCCAAAAATAATTAAATATACTATGAGTTTATTATAACATTATATTTATATTGTACCTTTAATTATCATATAATATGTTAAGTAAATATAAATCTGTAAATCAATTATATAAATACAGTAGACTATCAATATATGTATAATAACTATCCATACAAATAGATGTAAATTACAAAACTATAATTTGATTTAAAGTGCTTTACATTAATAATTGAAACTTATCCCAAATAAATAGTAAATGTAACTATAATATCCAACTATAAATTAATAAGCAACTTATAACAAGCTGTTTATTAATATTTTATAAATGCATTTTGATTACTTTTACCCTGTCTTAATCTCTCTCTCTCTCTCTCTCTCTCTCTCTCTCTCACGTATTTCTGTGACATTAGTATTGAAAATATACATCAATTTAAATCTCTTGTGATTGACGGGAGTTT